CCCCCCCCTCCTCCGAGGCAGTGCTACTGACTGAAGTGTCTTTAGGCCATTCCCAAAGGGGGGACATTAACCTTTTCTTATGCACAGTAGAATTGTAAATGGGCTGATTCATCAATGTCATGCTCATAACTGTGCCCAAACTGCAACAGAGAACTGCTGTTTTTTCCGTTCCTAATCCCTACTATCGTCATTTTTCCTCTACTTCTTTTGTATGTTTGTCACTCTTGTGACCCGCTTTTTCCGGGGTGCTTTGATAGTCGAAGTAGACTTTGTGATGTTGAAGCTAGAGAGATGAGCAGAGTAAGTCAGATTTCCTGTAGTGTAAGGACTTCTCTGTTGACATCCACCCCTTGGCGATCATATGGCCTTATGCAGTTGCGAGAGCCCTAAAACTAAAAAAAACACCTAAAACTCAATGATACTAGGCGTACAACATTTTTTCAAATACATAATATCCATAAAAGATGATCGCTGTGGCTACATTTCACACATGCTGTTGGAAAAAGAATAAAACTAGTTAGTAAAATAGGATTTAGATCTAAATAAAAAGATGTACTTCTACAAAAAAAAAGATGAAGACAGACAAAGACAAACTTTGACAACTGAGCTTTGAGATCCTTGCCCATTTCAACCTCTTGTCCTCATTCCCACACGATATTATATATTATATAATATACTCACTTCTAATAATAATAATAATAATAATAATAATAATAATAATACTGATAATAATAATAACAATAATATTAATAATCATAATCATAATCATAATAGTAATGACGTATCCGGTAGGCCTACAGTCTATCCAACGATAAATTTACTAGGCCTACATAGCTGTGATCTGAAAACTCACCAGGAGTCGGCGAATGGTGCAATCTCCCTTTTCAGGTTCCTTCCAGGAATACCAGTTGCAGCGTGAAAAGGCAAGACGACAGAACACGTTGGCCGCCATTTTGGCAGAACGAGAACTGAGCAGTATCATGGAAGACAAGGACCCAGAAGGGATAGAGAAGGAAGACAGAGAAGCAGTGCAGGAGGAGGATGAAGAAGAGAAAGCCGAGGAGGAGGAGGAGGAGGAGGAGGAAAAGGAAGAGAAGGGAACTGTTTGGAAAACGAAAGAAAATAAAGAAAAAAATGCTGCAACCAAGACATCGAGGGGCGGAGCGACAGACGACGAGAGAGAGGATTGGCTAAGATGGAAACATTCTCAAAGCGATCACCATAGGGTCTTTTCCGGTGAGCTC